TGGTACTGGGGATTGAACCCAGGGGCACTTAACCACCGAACCACATCCCAGCCTTTTTTATTTGTTTATTTTGAGACAGGACCTCACTGAGCTGCTTAGCACCTCGCTAAATTGCTGAGGCTGGCTTTAAACTCATGATCCTCCTGCCTCAGTCTCCTGAGCCACTGGGATTACAGATGTGTGCCACTGTGCTCAACAATACAAACATTATTAATTGTAGAAAACAAACCCTCAAGAAGCATGCATTTGTTAGGACTGTGTTTAGCTGCCTTTAATGAAATCTAAGTGGCTTGGCCCTGTCCTAAGAGCTAGAATGGAAATTTCAGGAACCCAGGCATTTGGCCATCCTCAGCATTCAGCTGCTCTTCTTTATCACACAATGGTTGCTGCTGCTCCAGAAGTGATATCCCCCTTGGGGAAAGGGGCAGGGGTCATGCCTGCCAAGCTGCCTGATCTATATTCAGAAAAATAATAGAGTTAGCATGGGTTCCACCTGGGAGATAAGACTGCCACTCTCCCTGCCCAGAAGACAGGTTATCACCAACAAAATAATCAAGTGCATTGTTTGGGACTAGACGTGGCTTTACATACAGTAACCACAGAACCACAATGGTTTCAGCAAGATGGAGGCACAGGGAGATGTTTAGGGCCGCTGCCGTCCTGCCGTTCTGCTCCCTCTGCCCAGCTCTTCCTTGACTGGGGAAACCTGCCCTAGTTCCAGCTGCCTGGTCACATTCAGATGGCAAGAGGGAGGAAGGGGTGGAGAGGGGCTGGCCTTGGTCCTGGAAGGACAGACCCCAGGAGGACCACATGCTAGACCCGGCTCAAGGGAACTGGGATAGGGTCTTTCCTGGTTGCAGGACAGAGGGCCTCCTGGGAGAGATCCAGGGGCTGTTCCCTGAGGCAGGAAAGGAATGCGGCACTGGGTCCACCAGCAGTGCTGGCCCCAGGAGGAAGGCCCAGAAGAGGGGCCCTGGCCTTAGGAGCAGAAGGGGAATGTGGACAACCAGGGGCCCGCAGCAGTCTGCCAGCAAACCTGCCAGCCTCGATTGCACAGATGTTAAATACACAAGTCTCTAGAAAAACTCCGGACTCCCCACAGCAAGTGGCCGCTTAAGATGTCCTGGCCCTCACAAGCAGCCTCGGAGATGCCGGAGCAGGGCTGGCACACCAGAGAGCCCAGCCTGGAGACCACCTTGAAGCAGCAAGAACCACGGGGCACAGACTCTGCAAGCATACACTGTGTGTGTGTTCACGTGTGTACCTGTGTGTGTGTGTCCATGTGTGTGACCTCAGCAGCCCACCTGGCTAGAGTGGACTGATGGGTGGTGACTGCAGGTGGGCGTGGTGGGAGGTGCTCATGGGGCTGCCCTGGAAGGCGCATCTTCCCTGCCGCCCCTTCCCCCCCCCCCTGCTTCCTGGCTGCCTGGAGGGGGCAGCTCCCCTCTGCTGGGCCCCTCCCCCTTGGCGTTCACCCTGGGCCCAGAGCCCTGGACTCGGCCATCTGTGGACTGAGGCCTCTGAAACCATGAGCTGAAACCCCAAATAAGCTTTTCCTCCTCTAAGTGGTTTTTGTTGGGCCTTATGGTCACATCGAGGAAAAGCTGACCAACACAGGCCTCGAGAGCCACAGGGGATGGATTTCTAACATGCCCTTCATTTCTCTTGCACAGAGCCCAGAGGACCACACAGGGAGCCCCAGCAGGGCAGAAGCAGGGCAGGGAGCGGAAAGGGCAACAACCTCATGTGCCGAGCACACAGAGTTGTACCCAAATCACACCCCAGAGAACGGGCAGGAGACACCCGGAGGCCCCGGAGCTGCCAGCAGTGATGCCCCAAGTCCCCTTTGCAAGCCCTCTGGAGGAAGGATTCTGTCAAAAGAGAAACCATCAAATGTGCGGCAGAATCCCCTGGTAGAACAAAGCCACGCCAAGTTACAGGTGGTGGAGTGACCCAGCTGCCACCCTGGATCACGCAGGTAGAGGAGCTTGGCTGTCCTGCTGCCTGGCTCACCAGGGCCATGTCTGGAGGGGGGTGGGGGCAGTTATGCTGCAGGCCAACTTAGTGAACTCCTGAAAAACAAGCATGTGTTAAGTTAGCAGCCCACAGAGAATAAAAAAGAAAGTTCGACTTATTCTTGTTGTGTTTGCACTGGGGACTGAACCCAGGCACTCTACCACTTAGCTGCACCCCAATCCCTTTTGCTTTTTGTTTTGAGATAGGGTCTTGCTGAGTTGCTGAGGCCGGCCTGGATTCTGAGATCCTCCTGCCTCAGCTCCCAGGTCACGATGCCCACAGCCGTGCATCACCGCGTGCGGCTTTGGTGGGATTTCATAAAGATAAAAGAATGGCTGTCCCAAGAGACCCAGCAACATGAGGCATTTACCCAAAGGACAAACGCAGACATCCACCCAGAAACTCTTGCATGAGCGTCCACAAGGGCTGTCCTCGACAGACGCCGGACGTGATCCAGTGCCACCAGGGTGAGTGGATCAAATGCACCTGGGGATGAACCAAGGCTCAGCCAGCAGGAGCCACACAGAGCAGCATGCTAGTTGGGGGGAGTTCTAAGGCACAGAGTGTGTGACAGAGATCAGGGCACACACCTGGTCTGGCTGCGAAGAGGCAGGAGGCGCTCGCAGGGGAAGGACACCCTGGCAGGCCGGCAGTTATGTCCCAGACCTCCCTGCACACCACGCAGAGCTGGGGAAGAGGGGACAGCAGGGAAGACAGATCTTGCCATCAGACCAGAGGGGAGCGGGAAGGGCCACTCTTGTCAGATACACGAGGCCTCGAGACATGGCACATTGTGGCAGCAAGGGAGGCATCAAGGGGCAAGCCACCAAGGGAGGACCAGGCCTGAGTGGACACAATAGCCCTACAGTGACATGATGACATGGCGGGGACACGATGGCCCTAGATGGACATGAGAGCCCTATCTGGACACTGCTGGGCTTCCAAGTGTGAAGCAGACACACTGGAAAGAGAAGTAGAGTTTCAAAGCTATCCCGGGACACAGCTCCACAGTCACCTTGGGGACTTCAACCCTCCCCTCCAGAATCCATAGAGAAAGCAGACATAAAATCCACAAGGATGGAGAGGACCTGAGCACACTGTCACCTGGCTGACCTGGTCAGCACTTCTAGAACATTCCCCCACACAACACAAGACCTGCTGACCATCAGAGCACACACGTGCAGGGAGTGAAAGCAAGGGAGACAAGTGCAGAAGGGTCAGCTCAAACTGCTGCCCTCAACTCAAGGCCTTCAACCTGGAATCAAGGGAGAAGTGGGAAACTGCAGATGATGGGAATGAGCACCTGACACCCTCACGGGAGATGCCGACCTCATGAGCAGCTGGAGAAGTGTGGTCTGGGCCACAGAGAGGAGAGCAGCATCTAACACACCGGCCAAGTCAAGATGCCTTGGTGTAGACGGGACCCCTGGCATCCTAGTCAAAGGAGGCTCTTGCACAAACCCTGGAAGTGGGTAGCCACTGCTGCCCTGGCCACATGCACCCCTACAGCTGAGCCATCTGCCCTGTGCACACCCCAACCTGTTCACAGTTGCACTGTGCAGGTGCCCAAAGGAACCACCCCCATGTGCGTTGGCAGAGTGGGCAGATAACGCCCACTGGAGCACCTGCAGACCATAGAAGCCCAGGAGGTCGAGGAAGGGAGGTCGGGCTCAAGAGCACACTGCACGGGACCCCAGGTAAGCTGGCCGAGGCAGGCTGGCCCGGGGAGGGCTGGTGGGCGGGACCCCCGGTGCTGTCTGTCACACATGCAGGTCCTTCAGCCGTGCAACCACGGGCCACGCTCTGTCTGAATGGCAGGCAAATGCCAAGAAATGCCAGCCAGGATTAGGGTTCTGAAGCTTCCACCTGGGGACGGTGGAGTGTAAATGGCATGTCTGTGGAGAGCGCTCTGCATATCTCCAAAACAAGCACAGACCCAGGTCAAACCACAGCTGCCAGGCGCACACCACGGCAGTGTGTGTCCCACTGTGGGTCGAGACGTCACCACGGTGATGTCACTGGTTGCAACCAGCAGTTCTCTACAGATTAAAACAGAGGTGGCACCAAAGCCAGGCAGTGCCCTCAGTCGCTGTGTGTCTCCATGCTAATGACACACTCTGGCCAGACACAGGAGCTGTGGCTGGGTGGGCCACTGCTCTGCCCAGCGTGGAGGCCAGAGTCACTCAAGGACATCAGCTGCTGCTTTCCCAGAGAGGAGGGGTCCCCGTGTCCGGCAGGGACACAGGGAGCACCAGGCCTGTTAGGAGGCTGGAAAGCCGAGGGAAGGCCGAGGGAAGGCCGAGGGAAGGCTGAGGCTGCTCTGGGGTCTCCGAAGAAGACCAGGCCGGGCAGACGAACAGTGTGTGGTGGACAAGTCCGACTGCTTCGGGCAGGACTTGGGCTCTGGGCGACGCAGGGCAGGGAGCCTGGGCCTGATGTGGAATCTGGTGAGGAGGCAGGGCAGGCCCCACAGCTCCGTCTGCGGACCCTGGAGTCAGGCGGCCCCAGGGGGCAGCCTGGGTGTGGAAGGCCCCCAGGATGCAAGGGCACCAGAGGGTAAGAGGATGGACACAGAGACATGTGAATACACCATCTGGACAAGCTCACACTCACAGAAGCCGCAGCTGAAGACAAAGGCCAGAAAAGGCTCCGTTTATTCAGACAGAAGAGGCTCCGCAACTCAGAACCCACACACACCACAGCAGTGGGCAAGGACACCCCACGACCGCCTCATCCCATGCCCCACAGAGAAGCCAGTCAGGGCCCCCGCCACAGCATCTGGGAGCACAGACTCTGGCAGGCAGCAGGAGCCCGCTGCCCAGGGAGGGCAGGACCTGGTGGTGATACCCATCGAGGGT